CTGTCAGTAATTCACTTAGAGTACATGGGGCCAGGTATTTGTCATCCTGCAAGATCTCTTTCTGATTAGGATATTATGGGGGCCAGGTATTTGTCATCCTGTAAGATCTCTTTCTGATTAGGAAATTATGGGATTCATCAGACATTACAGTTCAGAATGGTGGCTTCCTCTTTTGGGTCATCAGAATTAACGGATCTTGTGCCTCATACCGTTAGCCAAAATCAGATTTAGTGCAACAGAAGTACAAAGCCTATCAACTTTTCAGTCGAGTGGATTGCTAAATTAAATTAGTTAAATAAATTTCATATCCCTCATACTTTTCTAATAGTCTAAACGTTATTTTTCCCCTCTAACAGAAACATGCTGAAAATTACTTAAGCACTATGAACAGACAAGTGTTAACTATTTCGTCTACTGATGATAAAGAAGTACATTCAAAAGAGCCCCCTAAATGGTAAGTGAAACAGCTGTTTTATTGCAGAGATAGATGCAAGCAGCAAGACAGAAAAACTGGGGTATCAGAATCTTGTAAAGCAAACACAATTATTGGCCCCAATGAGGTTATTTTGGTCATTTGCTATTTTGTTGGGGTTTTTTTTAAGTTAAAAAACAATACAAAAGTAAATGCAGTTCTAAGTAGCTACAGCAACCTTCTGCTAACTCCTGTGGTTTTTTCGCTAAATGCAAATTTAAATAAAAATATAGTCTTTCAGATTCAACCAGATGGAAGCAGTATGGGTTTAATAGGTAAAATCAAAGTAATTTTTTAAAACCTCACTGTTTGTTTCTTTCTAAATCAGGAGCCTTCATTTCGGTGCTTCTCAGAAACAGCTTATTTTACCACGAGTACCTGTTGAGCCCATGACTGTCCAGGCGTACAGCAAATCAGCACTACGCATTTCTCAAAGTTCACAGGTCTGAAATAACATACTACTTAATGTGCCAGAGACCATATTAAATGAGACTGGTGTCTTGTAGGTTACCAGCTGTTTCCATAATGTTATAGTCTGACTCCACATGGATTCAGTTTTTGACAATATACCATCTATGACTGACAGTGATAAAAAATTCTTAGTGGAATGAGCGGGCTGAGAGATAGGAGCCTTCTCCTAGCCTCACAGTCCAGATAAAATCTAAGTTAAGAAGAACTTCAGTATCATCATGGGTGCATCCAGAAGCTTTCCATTCTTTATTCTACCCACCCCCCCAAGTATATTGTTAAAGAGCTCTGAAACCAGAGGTTTGTTCTGCTTTAAGGTCCCAGTCCTGCAAATACCATATGCTTAACTGTGATTCTGCAAGTAACATGTTTAAAATAAATGGAACTATGTATTGGAATAGCATGAGCTTGGATATCAATGTTTGTGTTGTTTGAGACTAAAAGTGGTTCTCTTTTTTGTTTTTGCATAAAAGATAGGGCAAATTCTGGGAAAGACTTCTGTTCATGTATAGGGTAGTGAACGTCTATGATAAATATAGGTTTTCTCCTTGAAATCTGATTTTTTTTCTGTTTTTCATAAATGAAGTCCTTGTAAGATCATTTAAAGTCTTCTTAAAATGTTTGTATCTGAAGGTTGTTTTTTTTCTTTTTTATTCTAAGCTGTGAATTTTGACTGGTGTGTTCAAGGTGGTTTCCTCAATCACGTTTTAAAAACAAATGAAGGTAACTAGTTGAATTGAAAAATACCCATTGTCACAATTTTGGGTTATTACTGTTTAAATCTGAGGGAGCTTTGAGTGAGAGAGAACCTTAAGAAGAGGCCCTCTAGTTCCAAGACTAGAATACCAGAAGCCAGGATTGAAGCTACTTGAAATGGTATAATCAGAATGAGCAGCCGAACAGTTACATTGCTGATTAGCTTTCTAAAAGAAGTCACAATATAAAGTAGTATTAAAATATTGTTTATTCTTGAAATGATGAATAAGGTGCAGTGAGGTCTCTGATTTTTTTTTTTTTCCCAGACCGTATTCCAACCTTGTCCTATATGAATATGCTTATATTGTGAAAAAAAAAAAAATTATCAGAGTTCAGCTACTCTGTAAAATCTGTATTATCTGTGGTCTTCCAACTCTTCATGTGCACCAATGAGCTTAATTTACAGTGGAGCACATGCTCTGTCCTGCCTTGACTTTCTCTTTGTCTTTTCATTTCTGATAGCTATGGCATCTGCTTAGAAATGCATATCCAGTGACACACAAGCTAGCCCTAATTTCCCATTATAAAGAAAATGGCAAACAGTGCTGTTTTGCCAGCTGTTCTACATGCCCAGCATGCCAACATAAAAAGCTTTTATTATTAAATAGTTGTGAAATCCAGCTGGGAAATTATCACCTACAATTTCTTACTTCCTGTCTTTTCCCTACTTGTAGCTATAAACAGTTTGGGTTTTTTTAAGCATACTTTGGTGTTTTTCAAAATTCTTTTCCACTCAAAGGAAATAATAGTGAACTGAATAGTTTTCTGTTTGCAGAAATTTCCAGTTATGCAGGCTTGAAGAAATCAATGTTTCAACTTGTAGTGGTTCTGAGAGAAATTAATAATTCATGCAGTAATATTTTTGTGCTTTGCAGTCCATAGTACAATGTCCAAGAGTAGAAATGGAACCTAAGCTGTGTTTGTAGTAGTTCGGATGAAACAAGGTTGAAGTCAAATAAGCACAGGTGCTGTTTTCATATATGCATTGCTAGAGTACTTGTCATACAGGAAATAGCTTGCCCACAGGTGTCAGAATAGGCTTAAAATTATTGTTTACTCACACATACAGTATTTCTGGTTCACATCAGCAGCAGGGTAAGACTCTGCAAATCTAGCTCACGGGGAATTGTGAAGCACTGTCCCGTCCCCCCCCTTTTTTTTAATCCACTATGTGTTGTAATTGGATTTCTTCTTCTAATAAAGCTTGAGAACTGTAAAGAGGTGTCTTCCTCATGCAGTAATTGTAAAGCCTCTGTATAGCAATGGCTGAAAAGACATTGTTATCCATAACTGGTAACTGTGTAAGTTCAATTAAAAAAAAAAAAAAAGCTTAATTGAAAACACCGGAACTGATGTTAGGGCAGCTTTGGTTTTTGGTTGGGGATTGTGGTTTTTTTTCCTAAAAGTTGATACTTTCTGTGACATTGTGAATATACAGTAGAAGTTAATATGCTCTCATCATTAATAGAATTAAAGATGTAAATGACAAGATGTTTGTAGGGGGCTCTAGAGTGTGCAAATAACATAAATAGCTAGACATGAAAAGTGGTTTAGTTACTGATAATACAGATTGTTTCAAAGGTTAATATAATGCAGTCCATTCATAAAGGAATTGGACTGGACTAGAAACCATGCACCACATGCATCTGCAAAACAGAATTACATAGTGAATCAGGTTTGTTGGCTTACTACATGATAAAAATGCCCTTCACTCTGAAATGACTTTTGTGTTAAAGTAGAACAAGATTTGAACCATTTAACTGTACTGAACATGTCAACCTGTTCTGTACACTCCATGTTAATAATTGAGCACAATAATTCTGATTTTAATTGAGCATTATATTAGTAATAATGCACTATTCACCGTGCTATTCTCATCTTTTTTGCTAATTCTGTATCAAGATGGTTCAAGATAGCTTAAATTTAAGATTTTGGGTAATATAGATGGATGGATAATATAGATGGAAGAAACCAATGATGCCATCTGCTCCAGCTTCTGCAAATGTAGAATTGTCACTTGCCATACATCTAAGCTGACAAAGTAACTTTTATCAGGTTTTTTTGTTAAGCATTTCAATTCTTGTTAACCTGTGTGGAATCTGCCACTCCAGCATTGATCATTTCACTGTCCGTCTGAGCGGGGAGTCTGTATTGTGAATCATCTCCTATTTTAATTGAGAAGGTACTCAGTTTTCCCCCAATTCTTGTTTAATAGCACAAGCAGTTTCATTTCTGTACAGCGGTGTGTTATAGTAATAAAATAAATACCACAAAATCACTGATGAGGTGAAAATTGAACTTTCTGTCTCTGTGCAGCCATGTGGGTAAAAGAGTAATTGGCTTGGATAATAACTTTTGTTCTTACAAACCCAAATCTAAATGAGCATCTCATTGATACATCTGCTTGTAATTACTATCAAAAGAAGAGAATACATTGTGCAGATAAATTAAAACTAAAAAATAAATTTTTAGTGCTTTCACAAACTAATACAATTGTTTAATACTTCAGATATACATGTAATGATTCTTAAACTTTTTACGGCATATTTTGTTTGTCAAAAAATAGAATTCTCATAAATTTATTTTTACATTTACACAATAGAAGTATCAGTAGAGAGTTCTTGTGTATAAATATGTTTAGTTGGATCTTACTATGTAAGGGAGCTTTTGGTATTCCTGTATCCATGTATTGGGAATTAAGCACCTACACTGCCATGCCCTCGGCAACTCTGAATTACCTTAGCTCTGTTGACTTCTCTGGTGATAGAACAGTTTCTGCCATTTGAGGATTCTTCCTTATTTGGCCTTGTTTGGTAAATAAACCCAGTTGGGTGCAGAGTCCAGTTAGCAATGTTATTGCAATAAGAGTATTGGGAGA